CAGTTTGGAGATTTGCCTCAAGAAAACTTGGACTTTAGTTATAAAGTCATTAATATCAAGACAGTTGGTTGCAAAGCTCCCCACACACAGACCTCCATTCATAATGGATATTTATCTTATTTACATAAACTCACAAGGTACCTCAAGAAAAAAGATCCTTCCATCACAGAAACCCCACTGCAGATAAAACTCTTTCAGATTCTCCATTCAAATGAGTGAATGCTTAAGATGTTGGCAGGGCATCCTGGGGATGTCTTTTCACCCATTCTCCAGAAGATTCCTTCCTTCTGAGGGCTAGAGACTAAAATCCATGGCTTTGCTCCCATTGCATTTCTTCATGTCACACCAGCAATCAGAAAATTACATCCACATGCTTCACTAATGCCTTTCCCATGTTTTCCACCACATGTTATAAGAAACACATGAGGAAGGGGTGAAGAACTAACCACTAGCATTTCAGCCACATGACCCTGTTCTCCTTTCTCACCAGAACATAAACACTTCCTTGTAAAGTCAAGTTGAAATTATTATTTGCTACACATAAAGAATAGAGACTTGAATAGCGAAATATGGAATCCCAGATTTGTATCTATGAACACTCACTGTAAGGTCAATAGCAGGAACTTAATACAGCCCTGGATTTGACCATGTTTGTGAACAGCCACCATCAATCCCACCAATTTCTAACACATTTATTCCATCTCATCAGCACATTTATTCACACAACAGTTAATTATTTAGGCGGATCTAATTCTACCACTCACACTGAGCAGGTCTCAAAGAGCTTCACCAGCACTCATAAAACTGACCACCTTGCACCCATTCACACTTCATGCTGTGGGCTGCAGGTCAGCGCAGCACAATGTCCTTAGTGAAAGCAGTCATGGCAATAACAGTGTTCTAGCTCAACCTGTTATCCTTGCATCAAAGAGCTTCAAAGTACAAAAAGCAGTACCTTTAAGACAATATTGCCCTCGCTTACTCTTCCTTTACCCTTAAGAACAAAGAACTTCCATTTTCATCACTATTCAAACATGTTTATGATGCCTACATAACCAAAATAGAAGAGTATAAGCATGCAAGGTACAGAATTTGCATAGTGAAAGGCCTCCAGATACTCCCCTGTAGAGACACAGATTACTGTGCATGGCAAGGCCAACAAGCCAAGGGTGGTACACAGTGACCAGAAGTCTGGCTACTAACCCATCTTCTAACAACACCACATTTACAAAGGCAGGTGTGGCTAAGCAGACCAGCAGCTCTCTCTTAATCAACTTTCAATACACAACCATTGAAGAAAAACACTCTTTATGTCACACTGATTACTACACAGTAGTTTTGGACAGATACCTACCGTGGTAGGAAGAGAAAACAGTAGGGATGACTGGGTAGTGCTATGAAAGAAACCTAGTTTTTGCTGTGATGAGTTTTTGCACCCAATCCCACATTCCTTTTCAGATGTGTTAGGCTTTTTACCATATTACCTATAAACGAATATCACTGAAAAGGCAGGAAGGAAGGAGACAAACATGATGTGCAGTGTGATACTGCCCACTGGGCATAAAAGAAGCACACATCAGGCATTTCTCATTCTCTTCCACCCAGTGATATATATGCATGAATCCTACTACACCACCAGCACCGAGAATAAATCAGTTAAATTAGCCAATAACTACTGGTTGAACACTGCAGAAATGAGGCATGGAATCCAATAAAGAAGAGTTTCAAATTAAAATCCACTAACCTGCTCATGCGCAGGGTCATGAGCAACAGAGAGACCGGTCCCTGGTCACTCTGAAGGGTGGATTTCATCTGTATGAGCAAAGGGATGGGTACGAGCACTGTAATGAACACAAGCCCAGTGATGTGATGGCTGGAAATCATTGCAAACGGAAGAAATCTGATTATACTTCCTCCACTTTCTGTCTGTGCTACGTATGTGAAAATATATGGCCTGGTTTTCCATATAATCATATCAATGTTATATGAAGTTGTTACCACATTTTTAGTGAAGAAACTCCTGATTTGCAATCATTGTAGATAGGATGAAGATTAAGAACAGAATATCTCAAGTGAAATAGGCGTTCAAAGAGCATAGTAAATAATCTGCCATGAATAATTCATTTTAAGAAACTGATATTTTTTCCCTGGTCCTGAACAACCCAAGAATAGAGTTATAGAATTTTTAGAGAATAGAGAATAGAATTTTTAACATTTATATGTTATTTGCAGTTATTTCTGAACTGCATTAAGTAATTCATGGTAAACACATAATTCCAAAAGGAAGTTATGATAATTAAGTAAAACATAAAATTTTCAACTCCCACAGCAAGTTATGTCTTTTGACTAATTTATGTAATGAGCTGAGCTAGTCTGCCCTTCATGAATTTCAAAGTGCGTGTTCAATATTTGCAATTATCTGTGCTGGCAGTGGTTACATAAGTCATCTGGCCAGTAGCAGTCCAAATGGTAAACCCTGCACTCTCTATGGCTCCAAACAGCTCAGGAAATACTGAAGCATGCAGTTAACAAGTACAGTTGAGTCTTTTCTGTTCAAAAGCACACGGCTAGGATGCCTCTCCCCTCTTCACTCTAGTTCTACATGACACATAGATCAGGTGGTAGGCATGTGAGTGTTGCTTGTTCTTTCTTCTTGTCCAGAACATTAAGTTAGTTGCTTAATGTTTTTTAATGGGTAAGCAGCACTCATGTGTTGCTTGAGGTTTATCACTGGGGCTGGAGAGGGAATGGGGTGCAGCAGGAGAACAAGCAGCTTAGCACATGTGAAAGAAAGGCTCAGGAAAGACATGGACGTTGACAGCCAGTCGAGACAGCTTGAAAGAAGATTTGGTCCGATTTTCAGCCTGGGTAAGATTCTCCCTATCCCTTTTATGAAACATGTTTGAACTTAGGAGATGAAAAACTAAATGTTGTTCATATCACCCTGATGATACTTTCTGATACTTAGACCAAATTGTGGCCTCACAGAAACATATGCGAGCTTTGTTTTTATCTGGGATGGAACCAGGATGTCATACTTTATCCTTGTGATCATGGCTTTTCATTTTTGTTCCTATTAACCTGTCTTAATGGGCCCTCTTCCCTTCTGGTCTAACCACTTCATGTTTCATTCCTATTACTCTTAATGTATTTTATCTTGCCAGCCAAACAAACCTGAGATAAACCCAAATTTGACAAAAAATAACTACCACTGGCTGCTAATGCTCAGGATAATAGGCTGTCTGTTACTGTTGGTGTTGAATACTCAGCAGAAAATACTGAGGACTACAGAGCACCACAAAGCATGCTCAGGACAAACAGACCATGGCTAGGTGAGCAGCTAAACTGATTTCTAAACAAGTTTGCTCTGACTTTGGGCACTTTATTATCTAAGCTGCAAGAAAAGCACTCAACTGCAGTGCTGCCTAACTCTTCCAGGTACTCTGCAGCACTGAGAGGAGAGGCAATAATATATTAAAAATATAAAATTAAAAATATGTGGCTGTGAGCTTTGGAAATATACTCAGATAACAGACTACTCTTTTATTATCTATTACCTTCTGCTTTTACAGCCCCATGAGTTCTGGACATAATTTCTTTACAATTAGTATTTTACTGTTGACATTTTCCCTCTCTCATCTCCTTATGTTCTCTTACCATTCCATTCAGTGGCAAAGAAGTCAGTTTTTGAATGAGAGGTACTGAATGTTAAGGACCAAAAATTAATATTCAATCCTGGCAATAACTGGACTGATATTCCCTTGAATGTATAGCCCTTTTCTTTTGCTGCAGATGGACATGGTTATATTTCCATTCTCATCAGCGTGGCACAGCTAAGGCTCGAGGTCTGTGGTACTGTGTGCAGGTTAAACCAGTGAGTTAAGAGCTAACCTAGTTAATTGAATAGTGGTGAAGTTGTTTCCTCTGCGGTCATGAATGTAGTCAAATATCCCCAGTTACTTCCTACACAAAATAATGTCTCCATCTGCACCTGCAGCACCTCCCTCATCTCACTAGTGACTATGTTACCAGAGACTGTTTTAACCTTTACTTGTGAGCACATGAGTGAAATTGCTGCAGGGAGTGCTGGTTGCTCCATGGCCCATTCCCTCTCCCAACTCCAATGCACCCTATTGCTGTAAGACATCTCAGGTCATATTCCCTCCATCTGCTAGCTGCTCTTATGCTTTGAAGAAAATTGGCAAGTCTACCATAAGAAAAAACAACTTCTGTTTGCATTACATGCTAAAGACATTACAATGGTAAATATTGGCAGTTTTAACACAGAGGAGTACCTAGACTTCTTTTTCCTTGAAAATCCAAATGAACAGCAAACAATGGTCTATTTGTGAATCTAAAATTCTCCTGCTTGACTGTGTTTTATACCAAGATAGCAAAAATGCTGGTGACTTTGAAGGCAGTACTGAAATGCATAATGCTGGAAACAAAACCTTTTTTTTTTTTTTTTTCTAAATAAGAAGGTGCTTTAAGAGAAGCAATTCAATTAAGTTTCTGTAATGAAAGAATAATTGCCTCTAAGTGATGGCAATTGGAAAAAAAAATAATGTTAGAAGCAGCTTCTTTTTCAGAAATTGGCAGCCAAGATCAATGAACAAAACATAAAATGTAGGCATTATTATTGATGCAGCTACTGATGCAAATAATGTATGCATAATACTCTATAAAGGGTTGAATTTGGTGAAAAAAGCTGAATGAAATAGAATAGCTGATGTTAATTCTATTGAGGCTGACTTCAAGTAGCTAGTGTTCAACCAGTTTGGTTTTTATATGGCCTTGAAAGGTATGCCAACTATAGCTGTTAAATCCATATTGCAATTAGGAACTGTTACCTTTGCTGATCAAACAAAATATGAAATGGAAGAAAAGAAAAACAACATACCATGTTCACACACAAAACAAAAAAATAGCTATATCAGGGACATCAGGGAAGGTGGAATACTATAACAACACATTTTATATTGTTATACTATTCCACCCACCTTAATGGAGAACCCTTCGGTGTGGCTACGCCATAGCCTTTCGAATCCAGATTTCCTCCCACTTTCATGGTGTCACAAGGCTTTCGTTGCTCAATGTATTCATTCATGGTGGACTCCAGCAGGAAGGCAAACTTGCCCTTGGATTTGCGGACACGAGCTACTCCCTCTGCAGTAGTCCTAGTGAACACTGACGGCTCTGCTGATTTCATGTAGGTCCACATCTTTTCGTACACTGCTATTTTTGATCTCTGGAGAAAATTAAAAAGAAGTTAGAACAAAAGAATGTTGCAACATTTCACAGTGGTGCTGTTCAAAATAAAATCAATCAATCACAATTTTTCAAATAATGGGTATTGGGAAAATCTGACTGTTAAGGGTTTCCTTTTAATACAATGATTAATAAATAATAAAAAAAAAGACATAACAATGGATATACTATAACATCAGATATCACTTGTAGACCAGTTACAATAAAGTAACTGCATATTTAAGGCCTGAATTTATTTTTAGATAAAAGCAGTTTACACAATAAATGTTATAAGGAGTATTTTAGGGAATTATGTATGAAATAGATATCCATAAAAAACCTGTATGGAAAAGAGAAAAAAAATAAAAGAATTCCTCCATAAATATTGAGCTGTAACTTGAGTAAATTCTCTGCTTTTACACCCACTTCTAACATCAATGAAACCACAATAGCTTAAGTAATATTTCTGCTTATTCACAATCCAGAACTGTTTCAACTTCAATTGAGATTCTGTACATTTGAAGACACGGTTCAAATTAAAGATGAAAACAGAAAATTGTACAAAATATGCTGCTGAAGGAGATATAATGCTGGGAGCATTTGGTTTTAAACAAATACTAGGTATGTTTTTAGAACAGTAGTTCATAAATAAACTGGGTTTATATCTTGCAAATACTTGGCCAGGACATGTGCTTGCTCAAGTAATGTGCAGGAAGTCATGACTTAGCTGGAGATTTTCCTTACTGGGATTGCGTGATGTATTCACAAATAAAGAATAAGGGATGATAAACTGTAAGCAAAAATAAATAAATAAGGAAATAAAACATCAGAAAGGTTAGAATTTAAACTTGGAAACCACAGTGGTGAGACTGTCAATATCAGAAGCTTCCCTGTGCTTGTTGCATTAATTCAGCAACTCCTCTGCTTCATCCAGCAACACAAATACATACATGCTAACCAGCAGCATGGCAGCTGACCTCTATCCAGTATTTTTATTTAATAAGACATGGCATTTGTCTTCTCTTGTGTGTGGGCAAAAGAGGAATCTTTCTAGCCATGAAAGCTTTTCTTTGAGTCAACAGGAATTTCAAGCAAAGTGAGATTTGGTCTGTCAGCCCATTCCTATGCAGTGCTGAGCACTGCAGGAAAATAATTACTTTATTATGTGGCCCCACACTGAAGGAAACAGAAGGATATTAGAATATTTGAGCAAATATAAAATAATGTAATCTAGGTATTATTTAAATGTAGAATGGCTCTAAGAATCCTGGAACCAAGACTTTGCATAGGTTAAGAGTAATTTCCCTGAGCAAATACTGACTGAATGTATTATGGCTTAGAAACGAAGTTGTTAGGAGAGAACATCTAACTGGAAAATAAGCACCATTCAACTAGAAATGTTCAACACAAATACCATACAACAGAATATCATAAATTATCCATTCTTTTTTTAGTTTGTCTACCTATCCCATTTTGTCCATCAAACATAATAAAACTTGTGATTATGCAAATTAATAATAGTTGTGTATATCCATAATCACATCCTCTCTTTCCACTGCAGACACAGCTCCTTTTCATTTACATAATAGAAGCTAAGAGCAGAGCCTTAATCAAGCCATCCATGTCTTCCCTTTGCTTTACAATTACAATTAAAATTACAGAAAGAAAAAAAACATGTAAGAGAACAGTAATGAATCAGGCAACATTTCAGGAATATTTACTTGCCTTCGTTTATCTTTACTTCTAACAATTTCTTACGTCTTAATATTCACTTCATGAAATAAACTTATAATAGGTCACTTTCTTTCAAAACTAGAAATATTCCACACAAAGCAGAACTATTATTAACATGGAATTATGCCCTAAGTCAATTAAAAAAAAAGGTTTCAATTAAGTATGTTTTTTTCTGGATCTTATTTTGTTTCCCTATCAAGTGATAAAAAATACAGAAAGTCTAACAAGACATCTGCTCTGTGAGGACATTTTTGTCTCCCAGGCTTTCACTTGTTAACATTCAAATTGTACATGTCAACCTAGAGTGAAAAATGAAGATATTCCTTATTACCACATGAAAAAGCTTAGCAGCTTTCCTCTGCAGTCAGTCAAGATAGGATGATTTTCATTTAGGGCTTTTCTGAGACTAAGGGTAAGCTTCCTTCCTCTTGAGCAAGCTGCTCTGACAGTGCAACTCTTGATGCTTCCAAAACAGGAAATAAGAGTAAATAGTTGGTGGAATCGATGTCTTATTTTTCTTTACTGTGTTTTTAAAATGACTTTCTTTTTCGGTTTTCAATCATGACTTAAAGCAGACTGAATGGCTGCTCTGATTTTCTGACGTTTTGATAAGAAATGATCAAATGATAAGAAAATGTCCTGATGGACCACAGCCAGTAATCACTTTCAGTAATCACTAAAAGAAAAGTTACCCATGACTCTAATTCTAAAACTGATGATTGCTTCCAACCACACACACACACACACACATACACACACACAGATTAATTGGGAAACAAATCTTCACGTACTATTGTTTGAGGTGGGACCTGAGTTTATGGATTATGCAAACAGTGCTTGTAGAAATATTGTCTGTCAGTGATATTTTATCCTTGTCCCTGTTTTGTGCAAAAATTTTTAGAAATAGAGTCATCATAGAATGGCTTAGGTTGGGAAGGACCTTTAAGATCTCCCCTGGGAATTCTTTTTTGTATCATCACATTAAAAACAGCAAATACTGTATATTCTGGAGAATGCAAGAAGTGAATAAATAAATAATTAAATAAACCTGTTTTGTTCTCAGCATCATGGTTTTAATTATCATCACAGCTTCATGCCTGTTGAAAAAATACTGAAATGCATACACTTTAATGTACTAAAACTGGAATTCTCAGAATTAAATGCCAGAATTTGCACTAAATGAATTAAAGAAGAATCTATGGGTTAAGCACAGATAAAGAAAAATAAAAAGGAATACTGTGGGATTATGCTATTTTCTAAAAAATAGGAAATCCAGCCATCTCAGGGATTACAGTGTTTCAGTTTTTGGATGAGCTCTCTGTATTTGAAAGCCACCATTTTGGCAGGGGTCTGATGTGAAATAAAGGCTTCCAAGAATAAAAAGCCATGCTTCTACCACCTCAGGGATAACAAAGCCTGCTCTCAGAAACCATCTGTAACGTTGCATTTAGGTGTACAGCAGCATACTGACTGCAAAAAGACAGCTATAGACACCTGTCCGGGAAAAATATCCATCACAAAATGAAGTACCACGCACTATAGCCATTTCTGATGGATCACTTTAGAGTTGGTGCAAAGAGAAAGAAACTTCAACGGGTGACTCATTTCATCCTAAAACTCTTGTCCCGTACAGGTTTCAGTATCTAAAGAAGAAATTTAGTTGACTCTCTTAAGAGTAAACTCCCACAAGGCACCATATTTTTAGAGCTTAAAAATATGCAAGAAAATATCTGCAAGTTTTCTGTGGGGCTGTATCTTACAGTGAAAATATTATTTCACTACAGGCTTCTTGGACAACACTCAGCAACTCTCCTTGAACTGTTCCTGTCTTCAGTTCACAAATTCCATTCATAATGTTGTTGAGTGACTTCAGTTTGGCCAAACTGAAAACATTCAAGCTACATGGGAGCGCCTGACACAGAACAGTACCCTTTCAGTAAGACAAACTTTTCTTTCTTCTAAAAATGCCTTAACCTGTATCTTTCATACAAATATTAGATTTTTTGTCTTGAACCACTTAGTTACCAAGGGAGAATTACTGACTTGCTACATTTATTCAAAGCCATGTTCAAACACTAAACTCACATGTGAAATAAATGTGAAATGTGAAAGAAAGCAGGAGGGGTTATTTATTATGTACTCTTGATAATGCTCAGGCTCCCTGTTTTCTGATTGGCAAAGGAAGAGGTTTACATGTCAGCTACAGATATATAGGAAAGCAAATGAAAATGAAGTAATCAACAGAGACAGCACAGACATACGAATGGCTATTTAGGCTGTTTCCTAATGCTTCAGCCCCATCCCCTCAAGTTGTATTTTCTCTTTATTATTCATCTGAAAGTCTGTAAATTAAAAATAATGCATTTCCTATCCAAGACCCTAAAGGAAAATGCATGCAGCTAAATCCAAAAGTAAAAGCAAAACCTTCAAGACTACATATTATCATCATGGACTTTCAATGCTTCACATCATTTTAGTGCTGCAGCTTCAAATGAATCAATAGTGCAATGCTGCTTTAATTACCACAGGCTGCAGTATCCCTCAGGGAAACTCTTCTCTCCAATGTGACAGGATCAATAAGTTTTCCATGAATTAAAATAACTGAGAACTCCAACAAAAGGTGTCAGAGGTAAAAATGTAGATTAAGAATTGCATGAGTTACAAACCATATTATACATAATTGCAAAGTAATGGTACTTCACCCTTTCCAAGCATGTTATCAGAGTGGTCATTAGGGAAAGCTGCTCTAATGGGTATGCCAACTTACTCTGAAGAACTCTTTGGTTGACCCTGAGTCCAGTGTCCCGTAAGCAATTTCAGTTTGCTTGGCAAGGTCTTCTGCACTTTCTATGGGCGAGACCATTCGCTCAACAGTCAAGAAAGCAGCGAGGTTAGCAGTGTAGGATGAAATAATGATGAGCGTGAAGAACCACCAGACACCTCCAACAATGCGACCTGAGAGGGATCTAAACATGAATAAGATAATGCACATTTTCCTGTCTTTTCAGCCACAAAGAGAGAAAGAGAAAAAAAGGAGGCACTATTATTACTGAATATGTCGTTACCTAACAGAAGATGGGAAGGAGACTATCCGCATTTTAAATATACACTTTTGAATCTTAATGCCTATAGTATACAGTCCACTATAGTGATACATATTTCTCACAGACACAGAAGTATGAATTCTCTTGAACAGTACTCCCAATGTTCTTATTTCAGGAAATGCCTAGCATGGCAAAAATGTTGTAAAAAATCCTAGGTAGGTAATTTCTTTTTTGAGACAAAAGTAAAGCCTAGTAGTTGCAGATCAGTAGCTTTGTCTTTTTCCTCTTTAAGGATGAGATTTGCACATGCTTATACTGGTTCCAGGATTAAAACGTTTCTGTGACCAATTTAACATATGTTCAGTTACCACAAGGACTTATCAAACATTCTGAACACAACTATAATAACTCAACATTTCATATTTTGTTATTTAAGAAGCATGCATTTTTGTGGCAACTGTTATTTATGATAAGTAAAAACTACAATTTCCATTTTACCACCTGCAATTTGATGTGAAGGCTTTTGAAGAGGAATGTACATCCAGTATTAATCAGCAGCAATGTTATTTCTGATTTCAATAATAGCCGAGCTAGAGGTCAGTACTGATGCTCTGAAATCTCATTGCTAATTCAAATTTGAAAGAATGGGTCATAAATTAAGTTGTAGTTACTGCACACCAAAGTTCCAGAACATCTAAAAAGGTTGAGAAATTCAGGACTGAGATCATATATTACATCTGAAGTAACCCACTCTGTAATGCCTAGCTTGGCACTACAACGTGGCTTCCACAAACAGCTGGTCAAATATTATCTCTTGTGTAGACAGGGATATTCTGGATGCAGTGCTGCAGAATTTAATAGGGAACAGAAGTGGGACATTTGTTCAGACAAGTTAAGTAGCATAATAGCGTGCATTTCACAACTGTAATACAATGGAACTAATTTAGCAACAACACAATTCCTCTGAAGCCCATACAGTGGGATTCCTCCTGTGTGTACCTGTTGTTTCTGAGAACTGTCTGTGATTTATACACATTGACACATGTAAACAATAATGGCTGAAATTCAAAGCATATTTTGTTACTCTTATTGTAGGTATTAAAACGAGAAAAATGAAAAGGCTTCCTAAAGAATGAACTTCAAAACACTGCCAGGAAAATAAAACGGGAGACTTTACGCTTCAGTGTTGAAGAAAAAATGCAAACATGAAAAGATTTGACACAAACCTTGGGGAAATATCACATCCTTGTTGCATAAAGGCACCCAGGGAAAACCAGAGGCTGTTGAATATGCCAAATTCATTGGGAGGCTGATCACTGGGTCCTTCTTTCCCATCCTCTGGTTCTTCTGTATGCCACTCGTATGGGCTAAACCTGCTAACTAGGAACAGGACCACACTGACACCAATGTAGGCAAAGACTATGCACATCCAGATCTCATACGCCAAAGGGTCCAAGAAGGAAAATACTCCTGGTTTAGATTTCTGGGGCTTTTTGATCATAATGGATATCCCCAAACTCATAAAAGGCTTAGAAAAATCAATGACCTCTTCTCGTACCAAAGTGATGGTCAGAGGCGCAACAGCAATCTCTGCTTTCTATAAAGAAAAAAGAAATATAGATGTATAGATTAATTGGATTTGGCTTATAGACTCAGATAAGCAGCTAATTCCAAAGGTATGTTATCAATATCAGGACACTGTGGCTTATATATTCTTTATACTATGTTTCTGTTTCGTACTATCACAGTCTACATTTACTCGATATGTTTTTAGAGAAAGAAACATATTGCAGGATTTTGTTTTACAGAACTACAGAAATACTTAATTTTCCTGAGAGAAGACTCTCAGATCTTACAGAGGTGGGCAGCAGTCTATGAAGGGCACTTCAGGTATTAATTCAAATTTAAAGAATTTAAGGAAGGATTCAAAGTGAAAATGGCCTTATTGACACTAGATATATTGGTATTTTTTATAAAATTCCAGAAATAGTTGCATATTATCATATTTTCATAAGGTAAAATCATTGTTCTGCACAACCCAACTCAGAGTCTCACAGAAATTCCAAGTTCCATAAAGTAGAAAAGGTGATTAATTAATGCCACAAAACTACAGGAAGACAACTTGAGGAAAAGATAGTTCAGTACAAAGGAATCAAGTCATAAGCAGCACAAAAGACAAATACATGGAAAATAGGATACAAAACTGTGCCATTAAATGATAAAAAGTTTGTTAAATCCACTTCCTTCAGAGAGAATTTTTTAAACGATCTGTTTCTTTAAATACGTTTTTGCCAGTCTTTAATGAATCATTACTGGTGATGATGTTGATTATGGATGCTAACAACGATGTTTGCATTAATTACAAAGTATTGTAACTGCACTAATTGTCTTTTCTGTGATCCAGGACCAACATCAGACTAAGGTTTGCTCCTTGCCCTGTGAGCTAAAGCTGTACAGTAGTACAGTCATACTACAGTATTATATACTGTACATACTATAGTATACTATAGTATATACTGTATATAGTGTATACTGTATATATAGAATATACTGTACTATAGTACAGTATTACAGTGGTACCTTGCATGGGAGTTGTAAAAGGAACTGGGAAGAAAATGCAACAGTGACAGGGGAACAGAGATGCAGAAGCTGCTGAAAACTTTCTCCTGTTCATCCTGTCATCCTGTTACCCTGCCCACAGCAGGGCAGTTGGAATTGGGTGATCTTTAAGGCCCCTTCCCACACAAATTGTTCTATGATTCTGTGATTACCCCAGGTGCATTCATAAGGATGAAGGCTAGCCCATGCTCTCTGGCTAGCTTGGACCTCTTAGCTAATGGGCTAAGGATGATATCTTTAGGAAATATATTTTTTGGTTGCAAATAAGATAGACTCACAACCTGCCTTCTGCAGTGGCCATATTCTGCTTCAGATCTCAATACATGAGATATTCTGCATGTGTTTCCCCCCCAGTTACAAGCCCAATCATCTTCACGGGCACAGCTGAGTTATTCATAAACCTCTGTAATGTAACTGTCTTCATTTTCTTTTTTAAATACTTATTTTGCCCAAATTCATCCTACAGAGTAGCATCATCAGATAAAGCACATTTCTCATAGTTTATCAAAATTTAAGTATGTTTTCATTTTAGCAAGTTCTTTGGGACATAAATACTCAGTAAAATACAAAAGGACATATTTAAATCCCTCAAATTTCAGTGAGATTAAAATAGGCTGAAAACTGAGGACATGCTTAAATAGTTTGTCTAATCCAAGTGTTACATAAATAGCTTGTGTGATAAAGAAAAATTAAAATCGAAATGTAGGTTTTTTGTCATCTCTAAACTTTAAAACAGCTATAGCATATTTAAAGTAATATGCTCTTGTATTTTTATAAACAAAGTTATACTAAGCTATACATATTTTATGGAATATAATTTTAAACTAATCTAATGTAGTTATAATTTAAATATGTATTTGTAGCTGCATAATTCTGAACACATTAAAAGAAGTGACTCATTACCGTGCAATGGTCCAAAAATGCAAATTCAAATTTAAATTATTATATATTAATCATCAGGTTATAGCTGTCATTCTGAAAGAGCTGTGATGCAAACCCTTACCCCGATTTTATGTAAAGATATTACAGTTTAAGCAGTATAATTAAAGTCATCATTTTGCAAGCATACCAGTCATTATTTCTTGTGCTAATATCTGGGGTAATCATTATGGCAATAGTGCTAATTCTCTGCATTTTAAATTCTGTGATATGAGGCATTTTTAAAAATCTAATTTCTTGAAGCGTTGTGATTTTATTAGTAAAAAATACAAACAGTGTTTAAAATATGTTTTCAAATATCCTGACAAGAAGAAATTGAATCTAGTGTCTGTAATCTAAGGACTGTAAAATGGTTTGGGCTACTGACATTGCTGCATAGTTCTGTACTTCATCTCACTCATCACTTCCCTCTTTCTAGAAAGATGGCTTCCAACCTTAGAGTCAATGTCATTTATAATCCCAAATCTCAAGTTCTGTGAATGCCTTCTGTGGAGTCCTTGAAATCAAATAAATAAAAGACTCAGGGAGATCGTGGTCTACTACTGCTAGTTTTTATCATAGCCACATAATAGTATCTTTATTAACACAGTGTAAACGCTCAGCTTGGTTTTCAAAAGTGTTGCTAAATCTTGATTTTCTTATGTGTCTGCTGATTATGAGCGGTGTTAAAAATGGATCCTTGAGAGTTGTTAGTTTTTATGATATGAAGTGGAAAAGTGACAGCACCACTTTGGTGCTAGCTGTGGAGATTAATTTGAAGACCTAATTAGCACACTGTTGTTGTATGCAAAATGTTGGATGAGCTGCATCTTACCAAATTAAAAGGCCTGCAGAATGAGCTGTCTACACTACCCTAAGGAGTTAAAGAGGTATTGATCAATCAAACAAATAAGTACGTATCCCATTTCACTACAGTTGCTGTCTAATGTTAGATAGTTCATAATGTAGACAAACTTGTTTCATGACAACGAATGTAAATGAACAGTACACAGCTAGGTCACGATTAGCAGCCCAATATTTGGAAAAAAATCCAACCTACCCAATCTGATCATATTACTTATCATTTTTGTATGGATATTTTGTGGCACATAGAGGCCTACTTAAACTCCTTGTTGTTGAAAGCTAAATAGCAACAACTGCTGTACATTAAAAGTATCAGTGTTTATGGATTTAAATGATAAACAGTATAACAATAGTGCAAATTATTCATGATCATGTTTCCAGTGAAATCTGTTTGGACAAAGACTAATGGCACCTCACACTCAAACCAACTCCACCTGTAATGGTATTTCAATCTAGGCTGCATACTACCAAGTACAGATGTATTCTGCACTCTTCCAGCTTAAAATAATGGAACAAGATTAAGCCTGATGGTGCAGATTTTCACTTTTCCAGAGTATATTATTCTAATGTTTTTAAAAAAATTTGTGCTTAGTGCAATCTGTATGAAGGTGGTAAAGCTATCTGAGAAAAATCATACAGGAAGTAACTTTAACTATGGAAGTACATGCTTCTCAGATTTTAAAGAGAAATGAGCTTTGACCCTCTGTATGAAACAGTGCAAGAGTAGCATATTCCATCAGGGGAATAAATATTTAATCAAGGCTGACTGTCAGTGCATTTGGAAACACCTGTTATACATGATCAATGGTATTTCAACCTCAGCTGCGTTTCTTCTCTGAGTGGGCTAGTTATGAAGGGCTACAGAGCCCCACAAGAGATTACTGAGGGTGCTCAGATAAATCAGGGACAAATTAGCAAGATTTTCTGATGGCTTTTCATATAGTGCTAAAATCAAAATAGGAAAATAAATCAATCCTTGCCATGACCTTATGTACAGTCATAGCAAAGCTGCATATCACAGCACCTTATCACTATCATGTTTCCCCTGCAACATGATAGAAAAAAAAAATGAGCTACAGTGCTCAGGTAACAGCCAGGCCATTTGCACAGAATCTGAAGGTGTCCAGCTACCAGAAGAACACAAAGTGCATATGGGTTTAACTAGGTAACATGGGATTAACTGGCACATGCACTCACCCTCAGCAACATGAGCAGTGCTACATGGTACTGGGGGTCTATGCAAAGAGCAGGAGAGACAAGGACTGTTCTGTGTGATGTAGAAATGCTTTCACTGGGTGGCACAATGCTGTTTACCCTTTAATATGGTTGGTATTTAGTATCTGTAAAATGTTTCCCAAGCAGGTTGTCTTGTTAACTTGCTAATTCACTTGCAAATTTGGTCTCAATCCTGGCTGCATATAAAAAGCCCTGCTTGAAGCACAGCCAAACACTCAGACTTTGTGATTATGATTTGCGAATCTACCGGAGAAGATGAGCAGCCGCTTACAGGAGAGCTTTGCAGGAAGGATGGGCTGATTTTCCTGCTTTCTCTAAGTGGGGACCTGCCGCTGTGTAAATCACCTGGCAAGGACTCAAGGAGGTTGCAGGGAGCATGGTTTTCTTGATTTCCCCATGGAAATCTTAAGTAACACACTTTTCTGCATTAACAGGAAAAACAATCTGCTTTAAAGCTACATCTGTATAAGTAAGTTGAACAAGGCTGGGGAGCTCCTGGCCAGCTGGCACAGCACAGGCTCTGTCTCTGCCATGAAAATCCTTGAACCTCCAAGCCAGAATGGCTGCACTCAAGCTGCTTATAGGGAGTAGTCTGTCACACTGTAAGATATTATTCTGTTAACATCTGTGTCTCAAAGCTTGCTGGGGACACAGATGGACTTGTTCAAGTCCCCAGCAAGGATTGTGAAATCCTTTGTCTGAAGAACACATATGAACAAGTCCTGGGCAAAGGTTGTGAGATCCTTTGTCTGGGGGACGCAGATAGACAAGGCCAGGGGCAATGAGAGTGAGATGAGCTGCAGCTAGATAGCTGTGAAGTGCTCCTTTGTGTGGACCTATCTCAGGATGATGGCCATCTCAGGGGGTACTCAGTGACTCTTGCTCAAGGCCTATCCTTGTCACGTAGGCAGGAGAACAAGGAGGATAAAAGAGGAACTGAAGACCATGAGGATAGGTTTTCTGACAACAGATTCCTCATGAAGAACGGAGGTTTCTGGCAGCAGATTCCTCATGAAGAAGAACGGGGGTTTCTGACAACAGATTCCTCATGAAGAAGAAGAGGGATTCCTGACGATCAGATTCCTCTTGAGGTGACTCCTGCATGCTGTCGAACTCTCCTGAGCCTGCTGCCTGAGTGCTGCTGCTGCTTCAAGGATTGGCTCCTCGACTTCCTTGTCTACCTGCCTGCTGCCCAAGGCCGGCCACGCTGCTGCTCGCCATCCCCCTGCTACGTCTGCCTGGGACCTTCAAACGCCGTGCAACGGGACGCTGCTGGATCCTGCTGGTGACTCTCCCCACTTTACGCAACTCCTGCTTCTTTTCCATCTTTTCTATCGCCCTCCTTCCTTTCCCCATCTCCCTGATTAGGTTTGGTAATAAACTGGATGGAACAACATATAAACCGTTGTTTCTTAATCTCACGCCGGGTATACAGACATTAAAAGAACCTCATCTCCCTCCTATAAATTGGAGCGAGACACACCCATGCTACCGTCAAGCTGGGACCAGAAAATATTTTGGAGAGTAACTATGGTCAAAAATACACCATGGACTTTGTAAATAGTCAGATAATTTAGATAGATAATTTAGCAGATTAGGCAAGAGAGTTCAAGTACTCACAGGCATTCCCTGGTACTACTGACATACTGGGATCAACACTGCCAATAGGAGCTTTTGGGTGCTATAGCAAATACTGGGCAACAGCAGAGTACTATTAGTTCTTTTAGTTAAATAAGCAGTCCTGAGAGCTTTCAGCTTGACCATCAAACCTCTAAAGAGCTTTCATGTAATTCTTCTCTGTTCAAAAAATAAAGTTCTGACCATGCATTGTGGAATGTCCTCTTCAGGTATTTGCAACAAGTTGCTCATGCCTGGGAGTGTCCTTGCTTTCAAGTATGTCAACAGCAGCAGTCACATTCCAGGACTGGTATGAACCTCTGTCTGAGCTTCCCAACAGGAATTTGTGTGTTAGTCTATTACTAGAGATGGTTGAGTTTCATGAGGTAAATTTTTCAAGATAAGGGAAAAAAAGATTAAAAAAAACCCAACAAAACAAAAACAAACAACCAAACACCACAAATGATCAGGAAACAGAAAAAGCGTAATTTCAATTTTCCTCTATAACTTCACTAGATTTTAAGTCACTAAAACTCTGCTATCAAAACTCTACAGAATCTGGACAAAGGGACTTTCTCACAATGTGTATAATTTCGCAGATATCTTAGAAGAAACTACTGATGTAAAAGTGTATAATGATCACATCTATGTGATGGTTAATGTAATTAAAAGCCAGATAAGAAGTTGCCTTAATTTGGATAGGATGAATCTGAAAAACCCTTGATTTTTAACATTCTGAGAGTTCTAAGGCACTAAAGCAGTTACAGATGCTTGGTGAGCACTCAGCTTTTCCTCTGTGAGATTAGTTCATTCAGGAGCTTCCAGGAACACACAGGAGTTTGTGATGCTGATGTAATCTTCCCATTCTCGCATCAAAGGAAATCAACAAACTCGGGGACATTGTTTCCCATACTTTTACTGTGCAAAGTCTATTTCATGTCATGGAGATACCTGAACTGATGAATAAAAGACTTTGACAAAATCTGTCAGCTTTATGTAGTTGACCGAACAGAGCAGGGCCCTAACCATCATTTGGCAGGCAAGGCTCTGCCTAAAACTGTGAGTAGACAAGCTGTTATTCAGCAGTCTTTCATAGAGGTGTAAGCATGATACATGCTAACTGATGGAAATGTTCTCATCTAAAGGGCTTCAGGATTTTTTTTATTCCATCACTGAAAGGTTATCTCAAATTTGGGTTCTGTTCACATTACAGATAGCAGCAGCTGAGGCAACCAGCAAGCAGAGCTCTGAATTTCTGCTTCTTTTGGTAACACTAAATACTAAAAATATTTCTCTTGTGGTTGTTGGAACTATTTTCACAATTACAACTCTGTCAACAGAATTTTTAACCATGATGCTCTTTCTGAAGAATCCTTCTCCAGATGTGTATAATATATGCTGTTTCAGTGCCTATATGTTCATATATGTTATTTATATGTCCCAATAAATGACAATTTCTAACACTAGTCCAACAGTCCTGTCTTTTTTAAAAGATCTGCCCCCATTCCATGAAAATGAATCAATGAATGATACTCTTCCCAACTAAACTTTACAGTATATCAAGAATGGGTGGTCTTGAAAGTCCTCCATTAATTCTAAGAGTAACAAATTTTTAAGGGATGTGAAAACTATGGATGTTCTAATGTCACAAAGTACTGGTTGAGCAAATAGCAAAATTTGCATTTGATTTCCTCTTGAAAATAAATGAAAGCACAGACATATGAAACAGAATTGTTTCTTTTCTGTGACTTCAGGTTTAAATAAAATACACACATACTTCCTAATTTATGACTAATACTAAAATAAATTAAATCCTGCTTCAAAAATTGGTATGCTTACCCCATAAACAAGTTCTCCCACCATCCCATTCCAGATTTTTGTCTCTGGATCCCTTGCTCCATATTTTCCATCAGGAACAATGGCAATTTTGTACTTGATACCAATATGTTTTGCAATTTCTGACGCCAGATCTACACAGTATCCTTCAAACTTGTCATTCCCTTCAAACGTATCATGGTTTTTCTTGAACATAACATATGGGGCTTCCTATAATGAAAGAATTAAAACTGTAAAGGAGAAGTATACAGAACATACTCTGAAAAGCAACATGTAATCTACTGACTGAACAACATACTTTTAATCAAAAGTACATGGATATTGTTAGCACATTTAAATTTAAATATATGAACAGAAATCCTTCTGGATATACTATTATACTATTCTGGATATACTATAATTTGGCTTACACATTTCACAAGCTTTATCAACCTTTACAAATAAAAATCATAAAAAAGACCCAAGTACGAATATAATTTTTGCTTTGTGCTAAATTAAAGATCTTAGTACAGTGTATAGTGAATATAAAGCAAGATCAGAGGTTGCATCTGTGCAATGCAAATGACTGTGGGATAATACAAGGTTATAAATTACACTTTTGACTGCAATGAGTGCAATGGCTCTTCCGAAAGTAATAGCTTCTATTTTATGATGTTGGCCCATGATGTCAGAGGTTGATGTTGGTGCTATGGCAGTAGAGTTTGAACCTTCCTGCCATAAGTGTATTACATTTTGCTTCTGTGTGACAGATGGCAGCAGAGAAGCAGTCTGACAGAATGGCATCTGACATAGAAGTGTGAATGAAGGAAATGTGTGTAATTGAATTCCTCCATGCAGAAAAAAATAACACCTATTGACATTCATAGACACTTTCTGAACATTTATGGAGACCAAACAGTGGATGACAGCACAGTGAAGCGATGGATGGTGTGTTTTAGCAGTGGGGACAGTGGATCACCTCTACTGGTGCAGACTTTTACAAGTGCAACATGTAGGCTCTTACATAGCTAACGGTGGTGACTCTGTTGCAAAATAGTGTCTTGTAGCTGAGAATTTGTGCTATGTAATACTGATATTGTGCTTTTTGTATCTGTTGTACTTTCCATGAAAATAAAGAGGAGGCGTTAATTTCAGCTCAACAAATCTATATCCTGTAACATAACTCCTTTGTATATAATTTCAGGTGCACAGCCTGAATTATTCACTTTCTTGGGGTTTAAAATGCACAGTTGCTCAGAGGCTATGCACATTCTGGTGAGAATATGGAAATATATTCCATAGGAAGCATATAATCTTTGAATAAAGAGTTTTACATGGTCTTTTACTATGGACCTAAGTAATATTCATGAACAAGCATAGTGTAAAGCTGACTGATATTAAAGATGCGTGTCAAATTATCAAAATACAATTTTGGTTACTAAGTGCCATTGGAAACAAGTGAAAATTGTTTTGAAAAGTAGATCTTAACAGTCTTTGTAAATCACGCTACCACAGTAAAAGTGAACATGTGACTGGGAAATTAAAATCATATTTTTTCTATCTGGCTCTGTTAGGATTTCAGACTTTAGCAATCATTATGTCAAACTATAGTTCCTGGTGGCATTTTAAATGACTTCACATAATCCATATTAATAGCCAGTTCCAGATAAAATATTGTCGCTAATGTCACCCTTTGTTTGAATTTACATCATAAAATACTGGTAACTCCAATTTTCTCTGAGGCTATAGCTGTGCTGGCTCTTGGCATGCTTTTTAGACATTGACCTTGGTAGTCCTCTGCCCTAGTCACATCTTTCCTACATACCTAATTAGCGCACAAATAAAATTAAGGTAAATGGGTAGATTGAGAATTTGTTCTAGATGGTACTACATGAACATCAGTGTTAAGCAGCAGCAATTATGTAACCTATATTCAATGTTTAACAAAAAAGGATACATGGCATTAAAGGAGTAATGAAGGATTACATACATCAATTCCAATTTTTTTAGTATGCCAGATAAATTTCTTCTTTCAGATACAAAAATGTAGCTCCTGTTATCTGCATCTTAACCCACCCAAGAGAAAAACTTGATAGGCAAGTTTGAACAGTATGTTCAATTTACTATTACAGAATGAAAAGGCAGAAAACCTGAAAAAAGTTAGATTATATATGGGAGACACTATTCCCTTTACTTATGTAAATTTAATCCCTGTGCTAATTGTGCTTATGACACACCTCGGTATAAGGATGGCAGAAGGGAGCTTTGTGTAAAGAGAATGGAGAAAGTTATGTAGTTCATTTACTTAATGTGACAAAAATATCCTAGATTAAATAAAACAGTTTGGGAATGGGGAAGCAGGAGGGGTTACTTAAACAAAGATGCAGGTTAGTAAGTACTGCAGGAATATTTCATTCTCAGATGTATCCCCAGAAATCTTCTCCTCCCATCCTCTCCTTGTGATATTCTCTACTACTGATGTGCTTTCATGGGCCACAATCCTTGAGTGATAATTCAGTACTGGAGGCCATTTATGCATTACCACCATTAATTCCAATATGAACCATATTGCATATAAAACCGTTTGCAGTGGTCACATTCATATCCTACCTGGCTACCTGTCTCCTTGTCGTGTATAGACATAGGTAAAAGTCCAGAGAAATCTGAAGATGATAATAGCAGACTGCTGCACTTCTTGAGGATTTTGTTATGAGCACTGCATGACCAAGGACTGCTAAAACTGCAGCAATCCCCAAGCAAGCTGTTATCATCCTGGCATATGTGACGCGGACATTGAGAAGGCCACAGCATTAACTATACATTATAATCTCTGCAATGATGCAGTGCAGTGATTTTGGTAGTGCAGTGTTTGGATCTTCTACAAAAACCTGACGAATTTTAGCAGCAGCATATCTTTCTTTGTATTCCATTCCCTGTCAAGTGAGCTTACTGTCAACCACCTGTTTTTCAGAGGAAGGGAGGGAGAAGAGCAGTGATCAGGGGTTCTGTCCTCAGTTTGTGGAATATCTTAATTTTGGGAAGTATTTCAGGCACATGAATCAAATGTTCCTCACTCATTTACAGTTTGTGTTCCCATTACAGGAAATGTCAAAACCTTTGTCTTTCTACACAGTTTTTTTTCCATAGAAATGGTTAAAAATAATCAGAGGAAAAAAATAGCCTATTTCCTGACTTAGCAGTAGAACCATATCCTGTCCAATATCTTGAATCTGTGGACTCTCCTTACAAACTTCAATTACATTTGCTCGCTGCACTTGAAAAGTCATTTTGTTTTTCAATTCCAGCATCAGTGTTTGCTAGCTTTTTTGATTCAGACATTCTTATAAATCCCAAACCAATGCCATATAATTAAAATCATGAAAAAAAAATATACTGGAGAGAGATTTGAACCAGACAGGTGCAGAGGAGGCCAGCTTCTCCCAGAACCCTGACACTGAGCTTCTGCCTGTACATCATTGATAGGGCTGCTACAAAATAAAATTATTTCAATTGCCTCTGCATAGCAAAGCAACAGATGCTTGATTCTTCCTGTTAATAGATACATAAATCTCAGCCCTACTCTCTCCATGCTCTCTGAAGGATCACCAAGAGGGGGAGCAATGAGATTCAGCACCATCCTCAGTAGGTGCAAGCAGTAATGACCCCATCCTGTGAAGGCACCTATGAGTGTGGACTCACTTGGCCTAAGTTCTGGCAGGGATCGCTTGGGTGACTTGAAGGATCCATTTTGGTTCATTTCCCTTCTGCTTCCCTTTCTACTCATTTTACTGATTTAGAGTAAGATATAGCAAAGAGCATCATTTGTAATGTGAATCTATTCTAGAGGGAGGTACTACTTGCTGTAGATACTTTAAAAGAAGTTCAATGTAATCTTTCAGCACAAGGCAATACAATTAAAGTTAAGGGAACACATATTTCCTCTTGCTTACTGTGCTATCCTTTCCCTTTTACCTATTTTACAGAATAAATAATTTTATTTAATTTTTGTGTCTACATTATCTACCAATATGAAATGTGTTTTCAAGGTAGAATTTGATGGGGGAATGTGTACGGGACTGGATGCGGCTTACTGCTAAAAGACTGTTTGCAAGAAAATTCAGATAGCTGAACTAGTTTCAATTCTGGCCACATCAGACCTCGGGGCTAGAACTAATGAGGTGTGCAGATGCTACTGCAATAATATCAGGACACTGGAAGGCAAGTGTTACTGGTTTGCTAAGAAGCAACTGATACAGTTGAACTTGCAAGGCCATGCTGCAAAGGCAAAAAAGATCTGAATCAGTAGCATGCACTCAGCTATATGTTACATTCTACCTGTGACACTGAAAAAAAAAAAATTGGTCTGTACTGACTATTACAATAGCATTTTCTAAACCAGTGGTAGTAGCAGTGTAACCATACTGCTCCAAATGAATAAGAGATGCAAGATATCTGAGTGGGGGAATTATCTTTTATTAGATCAACTGAAATAGCTGAAGACTCTAAGAGGGGTTTTTACTGTTTCCAGTCTAATAAAAATATTATTTCTCCCTACCAGTTTTTTATTTACTGCATTTTTTGAAGAATAAACTCTTAACCTGCTGATGAAAAACACAGATTTGACTTACTGCTGAGTGAGGCTCAATATCATGGTACTTGCAAGATTTCAGCAGTTTAATAATAGTCTATTTTGTAGTAAATCAAGGAAAAGTCTGCATTGAAATGATCAATGACTAGCACAGGAACAGATATTTGAAATGGTGCAAGCTTTACTTATATAATTCACAATTTTATAACAATACTTAACATATGTAAATACAAGTTTATGTCTGCAACAATTACCTTTATAGATGAAAACAAATCATTTCACCACATTCCCATAAATTCATGTGTACAGTAAAATGCTCACAAGTGATGATTCATTCTATAATGGAAGCTGGAGAATGTAACTAGTCCAAATATTAAACAGATCTATGTATGCCTTGCCTACTTAAGAAGTTAATTTCAAAATCTTTAAGCACTGTAAAAATAAATTGTAAAAGTGACAAATATTTGTGCAAGGAAATGTCTCATTTTTTAACAGGAGTGGCACACATCACACTTTATTCTGAAAAAAAAAAAAACACCTTCTATAGTAGCCAATTTAATTTTTTTTTTTTTTTTTTTGGAAGAGTACAGGATTCGGTTTGAAGTCTTTATTATTGTCATGCAACCACTGTTATTTTTTTCTCCAGTCTACTAAAGAATTTAATTAATAAATATATTTTTATGAAAAAATATTTTTCTATTATGAGAAGATCAAAGAATTTTTGAGGTAAGACTCAGGCAAGTGTACATTAGTCAAAACAGAGGGTGATATTTTGTCACCTACTGGAAGTGTCTGTCATCTTGGGTGCCCTATGGTAGCCTGCCTGCCTTCCATTTGTCATTCTGCAGGTCTGGGTAGCTAAGATATCCTCAGTGTTAGCTACCTACCTATGGATAATTGAAGCAATCTCTAAATCTTTGAGTACTTTCATGAAAACTTACACACTTGGTGAACAATTTATCCCATGTGTGAAACATCATGCGGTAGCTAAGACATCCATATGGATTGGTCATATATGGCATAAGACTGGCAGGAAAGGTTCATCCTGCTGGTGTAATTACAGAAATGGGGGTAGGCAGAATATCCTAGAGCATCATAAATCTCACTGCATACTTCAAGCAGGCAACTGAATTGAGACTCTCTATAAAGACATCTACATTTAGATGGCACAATCTTGAATGAGATTCTGCCCTTGAAGATTAGTCTGCCAATGCAAAGACTATCTTATTAAAATACTGAGCTGTAAGCCACAATGCAGACACAGCTCATTGCATGTCGAGCTTTGGTTCTACAGAATTTTTGTGATCTTTAGGTTTTGCAGTCTCATATTAGGTACAGCGTTGTCTGTATCATGAAAGGGATTAGAGAATCTAGGGTACTCATCACAGCCTACTCCCATATATTCTAATTCAGCATCTCAGAAAGTGATGAGGAGCTGGAAGAGGTTGTCCAGGGAAGTTATAGATGCTCCATTTCTGGAGGTGCTCAAGCCAGGTTTGATGAAGCCCTGAGCAGTCTGATCTGATGAGTGACAGCCCTGCCCATGGCAAGGGGATTGAAACTGGGTGGCCTTGAAGGTTCCTTCCAACCCAAATCATGTTGTGATTCTGTGATCTCACCACCATATTTCTTATCTTGCTATTACAGTGATGATTACTTTTCCTGGCTGAATAAACCACTATATTTGCCTTACTATTAGAGAAGGTTATGTGCAGTGTCTCTACTCCAGCCATATAATGAGCCTACTGCACATCAATCTAGGGACTCTGGAGGGGCAGGGGTGGGGGGTCACACTTCTGCACAAAGGGAGAGCATCTGTTCACTCTGAGAGGGCCAGGCATGCAGGAGGATATGAAGCATGTGAAGTGCATGACACATGGTTCTCTCAGGAACTATAAAATCCAGGGCTATGTGGCAGCTGGTAGATTAATGTATGTCACTTCCCGTGTTGTCTTCTCACTCTGGGATGCTCCCTCACCACTTGACTATTTGGTGATAGGCTGAGTGTCTACGTGCTGCACCAAATCTGTACAAAAAAATTCTGCGTGCTCTTACTACATTACAAATGAAGATAACATTTTACCAAGTAGAAAACCCTGTACTAGGTTCTTTGATTGCAGAGCTAATTCTTTATAATGCCATAGCCAAACAGCCGTGTTACAGCGAAGTAAGCGTAGACACACAAAATATGAAGAAACAGAAGGCAAATCAACTTGTGCTATTTGGCTTCAGGCAAAAATTAAAGCAAGCCATGCTGAGAACTTGTAAACTTTTCTTACTCTGCCATGACACCTCTGTTTGAAGACCGAAAAGTCTACAGCACTGGTTGCAGAAGTGTTTCACTTTCATGTTGGAAAATAGGCGTGCAACCAAAACTGTATGCCATCTACAATGGTTCAACCTCCCTTCAATGTGAAGTAGGCAATGAAGAGGTCAAAAAACTCATTGTCTTGCAAAGAGTTGCTCTAGTTAAATATATATATATTTTGTGTCTAGGTGTGTGATTATACTTCTGAATATTAAATTAATTACCTCAATAAGTGAATATTAAGAATCATGGTTGTAATCTGCCTTCAGAATCATGTGATCAGCTCCCATTGGATCATCAATGGGAGACGTGCATGACTTTTATGGCAGAATTCACCATATATTCAAACCAAATTCTGATATATTTCTCTTGCACTGTGATTTCAGAACACTGAAAAGGGACATTTTTGGTCAATAATTAGTTCTACTTTTAAATAATTGTATTTATCCCAAAATGACATGCTGCATAAACAGGGGGCATGCTTTGGAATATTAATTCAGTTTTTTGGTTTTGAAAATGATCCCACCAGTCCTTTCAATACGGGGACTGGAAAAGTTCTTTTGAAGATAACATTTATTATGCACATCAAAATGCTTCAATGCAAACAGGACAGGCAAGATAACACATTTTAAAAGCTTTCTTGTTTTCCTTTGTTTTTCTTTCTGGCAAACAGGAACCTTGTATATTACTTTTCATTATTATTTTTTACTCGCTTCTCCTAAGCTTGGAGCTATTTATGGAAAGTACAATACTCATGTATGGTAGCTTCAGTCAAAGATATCAGGATTGGTATGAGAGGAAAATTTCGACTGAAAGCTTGTTATTCACATCATTCTCTTCTCAGCTTGGCAAAGTTGAAGGTTAACGTCATCTGTTCTAGACATTTCAGATTAGTCACAGAACTTTTCTTGGTGGTTCAGTGCCTGGTCATCCAGTCAGAGGAACAGTAATCCATATGGAAAAATTAGCTCAATGCTACTAGACTGGTGGTTAATACTTGAGCCTTAGTTAGGAATGTTCGCAGCATCTTGGGACTCTTTTCTTCCTTGATCAATTTCTTAAAATAGGATTCTTCATCAGAGGCTGAAAAGAGGAGGACTGTACTGAAGTCTTTTTTTTTTCCATCACCAAGTCTTTTTTAGGAAAAAGATACATATTATTTTAAATGTCCCATGCAAATTTAAAAAAAAAAAATTACACAATTTGGTTAGGATTTACACTCTGAATTCCTGTACAGTAGTTTGGTTGGTTTGCATCCTTGAATGATAATCTTCAACAGAAGATTTTTAAAAATAATCTTAACGTATAAATGCTGATACACACTGCTGGAAATGTAGTAACTAATAGAATTTTTGAATAAGAAAATATATTCATATTTTCCTTTGGGGTATTTTAAACTCTGCATTAAGTTAGAAAATTGTTGCTTAACAGAACAAACAGAATATTCCTTTCCATTTGACATGTAGTCTATCCTAAAGGGTTAAAATATCTTGTCTAAATGAAACAGGTGAAAAGGGCAGTGAACTGAGATGTAAAATCTTAGATGTGGTCAGATAAAGGTCAGCCTTTGCCAGTTAGCTTTTATAAACATCAGCTTAAAAGGGCATTTCTGACTTCTGAATCAAAATTGTTAAATGTTTTATTTAAAATACAGATTTAGAAGAAAAAAAATGGCTTCAAAAAACTACGTTTTAAAGATGTAAATGAATGAAACAACTGCATTCTTCTTGGTCTGCAACCACTCTTCAAAAACACTAATTACAAACCTAACACTGAAAAATCTCAAATTTATTTAGATTTTATTAAAATGGAAAACTGAATTGACACGATGAATAATTATATTTAAAAAAATGTTCAAGTGCATCTAGTAAATTAATATTTTCATTTACAATTGCAAGTAGATAAAACAGTTCTGATTGGCTGACTGAACCGCAGTGCTTAGAATTTTAGCTCCTACTAAAATTTGAAATTATAATGTGTCATCAAAAGGGACACTGACATTATAAACATCTGTGCAATTATGTCAGTTATAGATTTTAGGTTTTTCTTTTCTTCCAGTTTCTTGTGAGTCAACATTTATCAATCAGAGATTGAAAGAATTCATGCATATTTTTGAGAATTCAGTAAAAAATGGAAAAGATTGCATACCGAAAGAAAATTACTTCAACTTATTTTTAAAAACCTGACATCAAGTGAATCATTATTTTAAATGCATATCAAAACACCTCTAAACAAACATAACAGTCAAGATTATTAAGATATATGGCTCTCACCCCCCCACAAACCCAGGAACTGGCAGACTGAATAACACTATAACTAAAAAGGATATTGTGTCACACAGCAGTATGAGCATTAAAAAAAAAAGAAAAAAAAAAAAAAAAGAAAAGATACTGATTAAAAAAAAAACCACCTTACCAAAATTGTAGTGACAACTACAGTTCTGTTCTCCATGGCTGCAGTGTCATTTCCAAGTGTAGGTTCATGCTGAATCAGAACTAATTTATCCATGTCATTCCAGTAACCAACCTGCAAAATAAAAGGTACACAGTTTACAGCAGGTAACTTTACACTTGGTGAAATTGCAAATACAGTTATTACATGAAAAACAGTGTGATCAAAAGACAATTTTGTTCCTAAGAAGTGCTGCTGTAGATGGGTGCAAAGTAGTATCCACCCAGCATTTTCTCCATTGTGAGTCTTCCATGACCTCCAGTCCATGACCTTAAAAAGCTTGTTCCATTGGCTCTGACCTTTGGTACCTACATTACAAATCCTGTTGTTAATTTTTTTTTTATACTCGGTGGAGAGATGAACACTATAAAGCAGCTCATGAATAATATGTCTCCCCTCTGGAAAATACTTAATAGAATGAAGAATTTCATACTTGCCTTTCCCTACTCACTCCAAAGCATGATAAGCATGACCATAGTCTGAAAGTCTCTCTGTTAAGTCTGCTGCTGAGGTGAAACAAATTAGTTCTAGGCTTCTGGCCACAGCCCTTCCCAGAGCAGCCTTAAGGTGAAATAACTGTCTTAGTTCACTGCTGGTGCTGAAATACTGAGGAGCCAGTTTTAAACCATCCATGGGAAAAAAAAAAAAAAAGAAAAAAAGAAAAAAAAAGAAAAAAAAGAAAAAAAAAGAAAAAGGAATGCCTGGAATCAGAAGCTTTCCCCTTACAAACAGACACAGTTTTTGCAGTGCACACCTCTGGCATTTAGTATAACCTGCAGATTCATAGAATCATAGAATCATAGAATCACAGAAACATAGAATCACAGAATGGCTGAATGAACTAATGAACTGAATTTAGCAACTGATTCTTTTTCCCAGGGAAGGTGCAGAAAGTAGCAGTGATCTTAAAGATTCCTTTCAAAGATGAGCAGTTCAAGCTGGCATAGGCCACTCGACTCGAGAAGTAGCTGGGAACTTGTCGGCAATGACTTCCTTCCTGCCTGCCTTTATTAATTGGGAGTTCATGAGAACAAGAGGTGAGAGAAAGGAACTCCTTGTCCATCTCACTGGAAGAGGAAGGGAAATTTTAGAGGAAAATGGGGTCTGGTTAGAGTTCCAGTGTAAGTGTATGTGCCAAAGAACAGTCTCTGCCTCAGATAAGACTTCAGTGTGAAGCAAACTGGCTGGGCAATCAGATCAATTATGCAGCCAATATTATTTTTAACATTTTTTCAGAACCCAGAATAAAACTCATCTTCACATAGGAGTCTATCCATGAAATGTGGTAATCATCTTGTTCAGAACAATGCAGTGATGCAGTAGATGACTCTAGAAGTGCAGGGGAGTTTTTCTGGTTCCTGAGTTCATGTGCATTACTGAATATTATGCCTTCTTAAACTTCTCATTATGTTTAATATTCCATTCAATTCATTTATTAAATTAATTTATTCAGAGGCAAGTCACCTTAGAAGTCCCTAAAGCTATATTCAGGCACACTCATCACAGCAGTGAATAGGCATTTGTGAGAATGACAAATATAAAAAGTAGCAGAGTATGGCTGATGAGTGAGTATGAGCCAATATTTTATTTTCAACTAGTGAAGCGAACAGGCACAAACTCTTCCAGGCACAACTTTTGTTACTTCTGGTTAACACATTCCTTTTCTCTTCACTATAACATACAAGCCTTGATTTATGTGTCTACAGCTTACAGAAGCTTCATTTTTGCTGATACAGTGGAGAGGCAGGTTGGTTTCCTAGTAGGATGCACCGCTAACAAATATTCTCTTTCATCTAGACAATCACACATTCAAAGATAGAATTGATAACTGAAAATGTCAAGTTGCTGTCAAGAACTGGGACCGACTTGAGGCAGACTGCGTACACTGAAACCTGGCAGTTTGGTGAAGCTCGTTATAACAGTGAGTGATTGTTTTTTCATTGTGCAAGTGTTCACTGCTGGGAAGTTCAGAAGGAAGGTGGAAGGTAGAAAATGAATGATGCAGTGTGTTGTGAAAGTACCATAGCAAAAAGGAGACAGAAATAAAGGAGCTTTTTGAGGAATGGCAGGTATTTTTAAAGGAATTTCATCCTGTGTGCAAAGGTGTTTCCTGGCGTGTACCTCAAACCTGCAGTAAATCAACCCTGGAACTGGATTACTAACAAATATATAAGATATATATGACAAATGTATGAGAATATAGGATTGTAGTAACTCAGAGAGCACTAAAATACATTATGTTTACCTATAAAATCTGAAGTTCTCAGGGGAAAAACTCCTCAAAGGAAATGATTGAATTCAGCTATTATATAAGTAATTCCAATTCAGTATGGACTTCCATTAGATTTTTTAGCAGTTTTGTCTACTTACAGAGAGGCTGAATTTATCACTCAGAAAGCAGTATTGCAAAAATATCTGCCTCAAAGTATATTTGTCAAAACTATTTGGCTTTTGAAAGAACAGTGTCGTTTCTGAAGGCCTGTGCACCTTATGTCAACCACTGAGGTGTTTCTGCTGAAGTCCACAAGTCACTTAAGCAATAGATAACTCTAAATTTTTGATAATTTCTATTGTGGTTGACTAAGTTCGAACTCAGAATCCAATTCTTAGACATGTGTGAATATATATATAGACTTTGTTTGTGTTTTGTTTGCTTTTTTTATCTTGACACTATTGTTTTGCAGACAAGAACCTTCTATAGAATGCTGCATAAATGAAAGCAGCAGGAGCATGGGTTATTGTCTCTCATTTGAGAAGCAAATCTGCTTCTCACTAGCTGTGCAGTTTTGTAATGCTCTCTTCACAACTTTAAAGCTGTAGACAGCAAAAATCACTCTTCTAAAGATTAGAGGCATGTGCTATTCTAACTGGAAAGACTAGTTCTGAAAAGATTGCTGGATGATTCATTAATCATGTTATTTAGGATGTGAGAAGAAGACATTAAAGGTGAAGGCCTCTTAGTTCAATTAAGTACAGTCATTTCTCACATAATATATAGGATTTGTCAGATTGAATGGAGCACAGAATTGGTCCAATGATCACATATAAAATCCCGAACAATACATAAGAAATAAATTCTTGTGAGGAGCCAGACCTGTCAGAGCTGTTATAGCTGTTTATATTAAAGACAGGTAATGGCTCGAGAGTGGCATAGAGACAAAAGGAAAGCATGTCTGAAAAGATAAGAAAAGCACCTTGGGATGCTAGTGCAGCACAGACATAAGTCCTTTTTTTGTTACCACCTTTCCCCTCAAATCATAGGCAAGAAGAGAGGATGGAGGACATCCCTGCAGTGGTGCAAGTCAATGGCACCATTCCCAAAATGGATGAGAAATGTTGAAACGAGAACAATATACCAATTGGGGCAGTTAATTGTTCATTAAGCTAGCTCCCTAACGAGTTACCTAAGTTGTGACCTAACTAACTACACCTTTTCTACCTAAATTTCCCTCTGGTACCACTGGGTATTGGGGATGGAGAGATTGTACCTCACTCACCAATTGCCTTGGCATCCCAGCTACCTGTGCATCCTCCCAGCTGTTGACAGCATGGATTGCAGCCAGGCAGCCAACAAGGTCAGACATTCTCTGGCAGAAGACACAGGGCTTCTCAAGAGAGAAGCAAGACAGATTCATTTTTCCCAGTGCATTTCTTAGCCATATGTCATACTTTCAAAAGTTAACTGCGCTAATACACCCGATATGCAGGGACACACTTTGCTTTGGTCTACATCTCTATACTAGGATATACTGTCAGTAAGTGCATCCTAATGAGTAATTCTTTAACACTCTGCCTCCTCATCACTGCAACTTGTGATAAACAGTTCATCTGGGATACTATTTACCGAGCTTGTCACGTATGGACAGACAGTGGAGGACTATTTAATCTAATTCTGATTGCCTCAGTCCTATTCAAGAAGCCATGATTCTTCTTCTGATGTCCTAGTACACAAAACATGCCATGGTGCCTCCAAAGGAAATAAATCCATTGAGGTCTAGTCCATTTTCTGATCTTTATTTGTTTTATACTATACAAAATAGGAAGGGCTTATCTTTTCAGAATGACTGGGCTGAGTGATGGTCTATGTGCATTCTGACATAGCTGCTGGGACTTATACTATTAGCCTGCCTGACAGACTGACTGAGATTTCACATCTCTAACATGCACACTTGTTTCTGTATTCCCTAATTTTTGCATGGAACAATAGTATCTAGTAGAAAATAGGCTTTCTGCTTACACCTGACATACTAGCCATGTATTTGATATATTATCCTTTTTGAATGACACAGAATCCAATTTATTTTAACTCTTTAGTCATCGTAAACTCATCCATCAAAGAATCACAGTCATAGATTCATAGAAACATAGAATCATAGAATGGTTTTGGTTGGAAGGGATCCCAAAGATCATCTAGTTCCAGTCCCCCTGCCATGGGCAGGGCTGCCAACTACTAGATCAAGCACTAGATCAGGTTACTCAAGGCTCCATCTCCCATTTACAAAGTATAAAGATAACAAGTACTGTAAGCACATACCTTCCGAGGACCTGTGTTCTTCAGCTCAAAGACATCCATAGTGTAATTGACTCTGCGACCATAGTGGTCAAATTGAACATTTCCTGTCAGTCCTTGTATTCGAACCTAAAAATGGAAGAAAAAGCATCACGAAGATCCAGATTTATGTTCTTTACTCCAAATGTCACAGAGTAGTGAAAAATATCTTTTTACCTCACACTCTGAAGGATTAAATGTATAAAATGAATATGTGTTGCTCTTTAAAGTAACCTTGCCAGCAACCTTGCCAGAAAGCAATTAACTATCACAGAGGATGAGTGAGATGCTCAAAGCCTGAAAGAAATGCTTTCAAGACCTCACAGCGAAGAAGGACAGACGTAAAGCCACAAGGCCGGCTGGGGCAGTTTTCCACCACCTGTCTCAGAGCAGAAACCAAAACATGTTTTGTTCTTATAGCTCAGAACTGCTTTACTGGAGAATACCCAGACTGTGGACCTCATTCCAAAGAAATCAGGTCCATATTGCTGCTGGCTCTAATTGTGTCAGGATCCAGCCATGCAAGCATTTTTGGCCAGACTCTGAGGCTCAAGCTGTCCAACCTAACACAGAAGCCTGATTTCATGTTTCTCACAATTATTACAGGTCTGTGCATCTATAGAGACTATGCAAAGCAGCTAAAGTGCTTTATTTCTCCTCCTAACAGTCAGAATGTGGATTTAAACCACTTACTCTTTCCCTTTGACCATTTCTATCTGTGCTGATTTTTCTCCAGGACTGAAACACAGGCTTCCAGGCACAGAGCTGCCAGCTCTGTCAGCAGTCACTTCTCAGCATCTTCTCCTGAACAGAGCCTGCTCATTTGCAATGATTTAAATTCAACTACAAGATTTTTATTTTTCTTACTGTCCCATCCAAAAGAAAGGCTAAATCATCTTGACAGAGATCTGGAACTTTCTAGGCATCCATATTCATCAGGAATTCAAAATCCTGACATCAGTGAACAATGGCTCTGGGTTATGTCTTTTCAAAGAAAAAAAAAGAACACTACCTATGTGATTTCCCTGGAAGAAATCTGCATTTATTCAAGACGACAGAAGAATATTTGAAAGGCTATATTTGATAGAAAAATCTATTTCCCTAAATGACAGTATCTGCACAGCCAGGTTACATGCAAAGTGCAACAGATGAACTCAGTATCTCAGTAACACAAGTCCCAACTATCTAGTAAGACTAGAACTACTAGAAGTTTTCTACAGTTGCAATTCCCTTCTGCATTAATTCCAAATTATAAACCAAAACATCAGAACAGCCCCGGCTGATTCCAACTGGCAACTGACAAATTTCCTCTCTCCCTTGAATATAGTGTCTTCCAAAGAATGTAGTGCACAACTTGTAAGTAATACTCACAAAGATCACTAGAATAAAGTACACCCTTACCTGTTTCAATGTCCTCTCCATATCAATTCCTTGACCCCATGGGGCAGCAGGATTAGCAAGACAATCACCAGCATTTCCTCTTCTTGAAATATCTATTTTCTGCCTTCTAAGATTGCGGAAAGTTTCAGCCATCACAAGCACTCCATCATATGTTAATGCAGATGTATACTAAATGGATGAACAAACACAATGCCTTAGTGTTGGTACACTTTGCAAAAATCAGCTGTCTCGCTTCTTTCTGGCTTGATGCATTACACAGCAGTTTCTACACTTTCATTAAGAAAAAATCTCCTCAGAATCAAAAGCAGTTTTGTCTAAGGGATGAATGCAGGATTGAGAAGAGTACATTCCACGAGTTGCAGCTTTCAGACTATTTTTCATAAGGACAGAAAAACCTGCCTCTGAAGAATTATCAGAAGAAACAAATTGAAGATGCTAATTTCTCAAACTTTTAAAATATTTGTCTTACCCTTTAGGGAATGGTTTCACACATCCACCCACCCATCCAACTTACTCAAACAGAAAAAAAGAATAAAATAAATAGTAACTGAAAAATGTAATAAGCAAGAATAAATGAGCCAAAATCTAAGTTGCTGGATTTGTTAAGAATGATCAAGAGTAAGTTCTTCCTATTGGAAAACCTGTCCAAGCCCTGTGAATAACACACAGTACTGAACATACTGAAGCACAAAGCTTGGCAGGTCATCAAAGGCAGTCTGTGTTTCTAGACTAACTATTATAACTATTCTAGATTGAGAACATGTTAAATTAAATGCGTAGAGTATGTCTTCAGCAGATTTTAGCTAGGAGCATATAAACATAGGAGCATTTTTGCACCTTGGTCCTCCGACGAATTTCCTGCATCAGGAGAAGTGGGTCATAATCCTGGGGCTGATATTGAAATTCCCTTTAGATGCCAAAATGTCAGTTATTGAAGGCTAATTTCCTTCCTGTCCTTTGTCTTGCATATTATAAGCCTGTTGGGACATGTTTAAGCTTAAAATCTTGAATTTTGGTTAACCATGGGTGAATTATGTGTGATACTGTTTAATCATGTCTACTTCTTAGAAGGAGGTATCACAGTTCTATTCACTGAGAACGAGTCCTATGGGCTAAATAGTTCCACTCAACAGTACTGTGGATCTCTGCACTCCATAGACCACAGCATCCTTGTGTATTTTTTCCACTCTATGAAACAAACTTCTTGAATATTCACCAAATGATGTTGATATCCTTTGTATTACCCATCTTGATTCTTTTTATAGGCTTTGCCAACTCGTTGCTCTTCTAGCCACAGAATGGTTGATTGCATATCTTTGCACAGAAGAGCCACAATTGGGTCTGACATGTATTCATACATATATAAGTCAGAGCTGTTCTGCTGAATTCATATTTATAACTATGCTTTGACTTGCCTGACAAGAAAATTATAGGTGACAGAAATATTTTGTTATCCATCTGTGAAGGATTAGGATAGAGGAACACTGGGATGTAAATGCACTGTAAGATTGTGCCTGAAAATGATTATTACACCAAGTTTTGAGACAGAAATAATTCCAAAGGAAATTCCAGATGAAAATTTAAAGGTACTAAATTTATGACTGTGGTTATATCTCATATGCAGAAGAATTCAGCTGTCAGGAAAGCTCTGCGCTCTAAGTTAATCTAGATAATTAGATTAATTAATGTAAAATATCTTGAAATTAAGTTGTCAGTTCAGTGTTTGACCTTTAGTTCCTGTCAGTAAAGAGGTGATTTGCAGTCTGACTGTCAAAAAACAGTAAAGTACATCAGTGAAATGTGTTGCAGTCTGTGTTGCTATCATACAATCACAAGGACAAGACATAATTAGTTCCCAGTAATAGTAGATAAACTGCCTTAACTTCTGTCTAAATATTAAGATCTTTACTCATTTATTTATCAGTGTTAATCAGAAACTGGAACACCTGAGTGATATCTTTGATAGTGCTTCATATTCATCAATACCTTTGGTGGAGTCTCAGATCCTGGGTATTCTCTCTGGTCCAGCTTCTTCCAGCGCTGCATCAACTTAGTTACCATTGGGGTACTGAAATCTACTAGCTGAAATCCCGTCACATTAGCTCCTCCATGCATAAACCTCTCCAGAGAAATATCTTTGAATCCCTAGAAAATCAATTTAAGATTTTGTTTGCCCTTATACATCATTGTGAGTCCAATCTGTTCTAGGTCAGTAAGGCAGCATAAAGAAGGGCAACAGCAGGTTTCCATTAGAAAGACTTGAGCTAAGACTTAAAACCAGAAAATAATATTGAACATTGAAAGTTCATAGTTTCCATTTGTGTTATAAACAAGGAAACAGAACCAGAAAACAAAATTCTCACATTATTGCTGGAGTGGCCTCAACAGCTCAGTAATGCATTGCTGGGAATGGCAGTCAGTTTAGTTTTAGAAGGAGTGCATTTGGAGAATCGTATGAAAAGTGCCTGCAGAGTATTGAATCCTAGAATCAATTTCCACTGAAGTTGGTAGATTTTAATGTGCTCGTGTTTGGTCCATTACAACCCTGCTTCTTTTCATGTTTATAAAATGAAGAACTTTATTGTATAAATATATTTATTCCAGGACTCATTGCTTAGGTTGAAGTTATCTGAGTAACACAAGCTATGAAATAATACAATGAAACAGCACATGAGTGCTTCACCGTTAGTACAACAAGAAAAGGAAAACAGTATCGGAATCAACCTTTTGTGAAATGTGGTGATAGTTCTCAGATCTAAATCTGTCTAAAATCTAAGGTGACTTCCAGCATGGAACAAAAAAAAAAAAAAGTAATGTACTTCCTGACTTACTGGTTTTAAGGCTCATTTGTCTCAAAGGCACACAAACAAATCTTTTAGTAAAATTTGCCTTTAGAGATGCAACTGAACTTCAAGAGACTGCGTAATGCAAACTGCTAAAGTAAGAAGAAAACATTATTTTTTTGCTGCTACATTTTATGGTATCTCAGATTTTATTTATTTATTTATTACATTCTTCAATTTCTCTCACTGGCATTTTTCAGTAGAAAGTGAAGTCTATTATCATATAACTTCAAGAAAGATTTCAGAAAAAATAACTGTGGGCCACTGACCCAATGCTCCACATGAAAACAAAACAAAATAAACCCAGAGATTTACAGACAGAGATTTATTTCCTAAAGGAGACTAAAGTTGAATATGAGAAGCGACACATCAGGAATGTTATTGAATAGCTGATAGATAGGAGCATGCATCCATGCTGAAGCTCTGAGTGTCTCCACTGTATATCCTACTGTTTACAGCAACCACTTTGTGTGGGAAAGGTTGCTTGGGGAATTCTAAATTTGGTATGATGAAAATCTAATTTGTAAGACCATAAGAGGATAGACTTCTCTCATTTCAAAAGCCTTAGGTCTTAAAAATAATCTGAAGTGATCTTAAGGTACCAGTATACCAAACCACAGTAACGTATTTCATATCAGCTAAAATTCCTTGAGGGAAGAATAAAAAGAAAACAATTGGAAGAACGCATTAGACTCTGCCCTACATTCACTGTGCTTGACCAGGAAGGTATTCAACTTGAAAAATGAACCCATTTTAATAACAAAATATCATATTTGCTCTTAATTTGCCTTCTTCTAAACATTATTCGTGTTAAAGTGCTGTTTAGACTTAGAGTGAAAATACTGAATTAGTGATTTGAAAGGGAGTAGCTGCTTTTCATGTTTACAAAATGAATTTTCCCCACACAGTGTAGGAAAGTTCCTCCAATAATTGTTTCACTATTAATATTAAAAAGATGAGTGAACACTGATAGTGTAGTTCTGTAAAGGCATCTGATTCAGCCAGAGGAAACACATAGCAGTTCTTTACTACATTGATTTTGATTAGATTTAAGAAGATAACATTTTATCTTTCTTTCTTGTATAGATGGCAAAACAACAGAACCAAGTTCTTTTACATGCTCTAAAGAATGTATTATATGCAACCACATATTCGTGACAAAGGCAGATAAAGTTCTGAGTCTACAAAGCAAAACTGAGTGTTTCACTTACCAAGCAGAGGTATAATTCTAGAAAAGGATCTTACCAAGTTGGCAACAATGTAATGGTATCCTTTAACATGCTTTCCCACGCTCACAATCTGTAGGAGAGAAATAAGAAAGAAAAAGAAAAAAAGAAAAAAAAAAACCACAAAAACCTGTCATACAGTGTTTTCATAGCCATATAAATTCTGCAGCATTTAACCTTAGCAATATAACATTGACAGCCTTACTCCAATAAAGTAGCTATAACTTTCTAGGTGTTTAATCATGGGAAAAAAAGTTAAAATTAAAGTGGGTAAAGTAATGAACTGGTAATCTGAGTGCCTTCCATATGACTGAAAGTGTTAGTGTAGTACACTATTTCATCAAGTACAGCAATTACCTGCAGGACACAAATTCAGAAGCAGGAGGTCACACATTAGCTAGAAAGCCTACCTCCTAATGTACTTTTTCATTTCAAATGAGTGCAGCATTTATGAATCAAACTGGGTTTTCACCTCTTGGGATCAAAGCTTTTTGCCCTTGAGGTGGCCAAGTACTCTGAGCGTTATTCACTTCTCAGTAATAAACCGAAGATTCGAGAATGGGAATGAGCAAGGACAGAGCAAGAAGAGGCAGTCAGATTTGCTGCTGTGAAAGTCCCTTCTCTCCAGCTGTGAGGGGCTTCTGGTGATGCAGGAGGTGAGGGGCAGCACAGTGCTTGGTCCCAAGGGGAAGCCATGCACATTTAAGCCTATAGCCAGCATCTAACATCAAGTGACACAGAGGGGGAACACTCCTGATGTGCTATGGTCTTGATACAGCAAGCTCAACAACAGAGATTAGACAAAACCAATGTCAGCCCAAGCCTTGTACCAATATTAATGCCACTTCTATGACAGAATGCCTATTTAATGTCCTGAACACCAAAAATGAGGAGTGAAAGTCTTCTCAGTAGAAAATGGCGCTAATAGATTTGTTAGACTTTAGAAGTGTTTTTACTTAAATTTGTAGCAATACCCATGGTACCACGCAACTTGTGTTTAATGCCAGCAAAGAGCCCTTTAACTCTTATATTCAATTATATTCAGTGGTTTACTGTTCACTTTAAGAAAGTCTGTTTGTAGTCAAATATATCACAGAATCACAGAATTATAAAAGTTGGAAAAGACCTCTAAGATCAAATCCAACTGTCAGCATATCACCACTGTGACCACTCACAGAATCATAAAATCATGCTTTTTTCTCCTCAAGCACTCATCCTCACTATACATTTTTATCTTCCTTTCAAATGAATAAGTAAGATATAGGTAAATGTTTGCCATGTGCTGCACACTGATAACAATTAATTTCATTATTTTAAAGTAATAAAGTGAATATGTAATTTGTTATCATTTATTAATATCAGTAATTAAATTTCTTTTTTTTTTTTCTTTTTTTTCCCCACTGTAAATAGTGAATTCACTTCCTTGCTAGTACAAGGAGAGACTTGAATGGTTTCAATGGAAATGTGATCTCCGACATCAGTAATACTTTTACATACATACTTCCTCCACGGTCTGTGGTAATGATAATATGCTTGCCTCCCTACTTGAGGGAAAATGATAGAGATTAAAGCCCCACAGTTTGAACATATACAGCATCACAGTTTCAGTGTAAGAGGATGTGATTTAAAATGAATGCAATGGGATAACCATGGGCCAGATCCTCAGCTTGGGAAATCACTGCAACTCCCTTTGAGCTCTTAGGACCTGATACAGCTTTGGTAGTTAACATCCTTAGTGATTCGTTCCTTGGTGTGGTTTTGTAACACAAATTATGATAATCATTGAACATATTGCTTATATTAAGCATGCACAAGGTAAACATGCATCAATTGAGGTATATCATCTATATTTCTGTAGTTTTTCACGTAGTCAAAATGAGTAAATATTGCAAATGATTAAATGGATTTGCCTCTGTTCTTTCTCTTAGCAAATGCATGTAGAAATGACTGCAGAATTCCCAGGTTTAATATTAAAAATACAGAATATTTATGAAAAAAGGAAAGATTTTTGTAAGCATATTCTCTCAAAGTTTGTTTCTGAAGGTATGTAATAAAGGTACACATCTACATATCTAGTTGTCCGTGCTTCCTTTAGTCAGTAGAAAGAACAGGCACTCAGAGGAAATGATTCATCTTATTCTGAAGTACACGTCTAAAATTAATTAGACAGCTTGTGCCCTGAAAGTGCTTATTTTTCTCTGCTGACTACAAGAAGAGTTGATGATGATTAGACCTGATGTAGGCACCTACATTTTATATCCCTAGTGTTAACTGAGATGAATTTCACCCTAAAAATGTTGATCACACAGACAGAGAAAAGAAAAGATGCTATACGCTTGCATTTTCAACAAGATTAAACACAATTCTGATTTTTATCTCTCACGATTTAGGGAAAAAGTGCCTGTTTAGTGAAAATAGCTTCCACCTTTATCTCTTGAATTCTTAAAGGTGCAGCTTTATGGGATAGAAGTCCTTGCTACCTGACGAACCATCCCTCTTTATGTTGTACTTCATAGAATCATAGAATCATAGAATCACCAAGGTTGGAAAAGACCTAAAAGATCACCCAGTCCAACCGTTCACCTATTCCCAATAGCTCCTACTAAACCATGTCCCTCAACACAACATCCAGTCTTTCCTTGAACACCCCCAGGCTCGGTGATTCCACCACCTCCCTGGGCATCCATTCCAGTGCCTGACCACCCTTTCTGAAAAGTAATACTTCCTCATGTCCAGCCTGAATCTCCCCTGCCGTAGCTTGAAACCATTCCCCCTGGTCCTATCACTAATGACACGAGAGAAGAGGCCGACCCCCAGCTCACTACAACCTCCTTTCAGGAAGTTATAGAGAGCACTTCTTCTGCACTAAGATAAATTTCTAACAAGAAAAGGGACTTCTCAAAGGGCTCCACAGACTTAAACATTTTCCTTCTCTATCCTTTAAGTGATATCAGTAACTGGAGTCTTTAAAAGAGATGAGACTTTGACCATAGAAGCTATAGCCATGAATTACACAGTAAAGACATGAGTGCTAGTGAGTCAGGAAAGAGTATTTTTTTCTTGTGGTAGAGCTGAGGAGTAAGGTTAAAAAAAAAGAAACAGACATTTACTCCGAAAGTGAAAAAGAGGACTGAGATTTTGGTAAATGAGGTATCTTCCAGAAATCTTTTGCTATACAAATTCTCTAAGTCTGGAGACACCTTAAAACACCACATGCCACCTTGTACATTCCCAAATTTGGCCAAAAGGCCAAGCTCAGTAACAATGCAGAGAAAGGACAGAGTTGTACTATCATCTCCATGACAGCAAGCAGCAAACTCCGTAAGACAGGGAGTACACAGCACAGGTGTTTGTGCTAGGGAGCTGGTATCCATTCCAAGCATGGTTCAGGGTTTTACTCTTGATTGTCACTAACTTGCTCCTTGGACACAACTCGCAATGTAAGCTAGTTCACATCTAAGGCATATCTTCTCATTTGGCATCACCCAGAAGAAATTGATGTATTCAGAGACCACAGGACACCCTTGATGTGAAACAAAGCACAAATAAATGGCCACAATCAGGACATCCACTCCAAAAAGCACATTCCTGAAGCAAATTAAGATGCTGCATGTGCATGTGGGACAGGTGGCAGGCGCACTTATGGTATGAGATTGGGCCCTGGGAGCCATCTTCATTTCAAAATGGAGGCCCTGAAGAGAGGCTGAGGTGTCACAGCCCCATGTGGTGGCCCTGCCACAGAGCAGCCCTGATGCAGCCCGCACCCAGCCCAGCACAGAGCCTGGGAGAGCCTGGGAGAGTCAAAGTATTAACTACTACTCACACTATTAGTGAATATTTTGTTTTAGTAAATGTAGCAACAGAGAATCAAACAAAATGAAATACTAAGGACATCAACTATCAGTGCCTTATAAGAAGCTAACACAATATTTTTTTTCAAAGATCATTTTGTAAGTCCATCTTTAAGTCCACAAAAAGATGAACTTAGAAAAAATATAAAACACTATTATGCTCTATTGAAAATCACTCACATTATTAAATGCATTTGTGTGTAAGAACAGTGTATTGTGAGAACTTCTTCTTGTTGATCTAGCATGCCTTATCATGGAATCACAGAATCATCTTAGAATGACTTGGGTTGGAAGGGACCTCAAGGATTATCCAGCTTCAATCTCCATCTGCTGCAGGCAGGGCCACCAACCTCCACATTTAATACTGGACCAGGCTGCCCAGGGCCCCATCCAATCTGGCCTTGAACACCTGCAGCGACAGGCATCCACAACCTCTCTGGGCAGCCTGTTCCAGCACCTCACCACTCTTATAGCAAAGAATTTCCCCCTGACATCCAAACTAAATCTTCCTTCCTTCAACTTAAAACCATTTCCCCTTGTCCTGTTATTATTCTTATCTTATTCTGATGTCAGTAATGTCAAGTGATAATTACAGTAGTCAGAATAATACTGTTGACTTTGAAGTGTGGTAAAAGCATAGCCAGGGAGATCTGAATGAAACTTAGGCTTTGTACACAACTTGGAACTTTTTGACTTTACCAAGCAACACTATTTGTTATATTTAGCTGAACAATAGTCTGGTTTAGGAAATGGGAACTATTCCATTATCAAAAAGAAGAAGAGGTCTAAGTGTCTGCTTTTATGCTCTCTCTCTTATTTGTTGTTTTTATTCCCTTCAGGACTGGTATGTTCACAAACTTTGATAAAGCCATTTACAGACTTACATCAGTGTCTGACCAGAGAATCAGACTCCAAGTTAGTCTCTGCCCTTCACTGCCACAGAAATGGATATTGCATATAACTCATTTTAAAAGAATGCTTAACTTCCATAGCATGAAATCTCATTATGTTTTCCAACAGGTGAAGGTCAGTAAAGGTAGTGTGGAAAGAATTTCTTTTCAGTTAAATTTCTTCAAAGGGTGATAGTTTTTCATTACCGGTGGGACTTTAAAAAAGGTTCTCCTCTTTGGAATTGTCTCACAATCCACTTCCTTAAAAAAAAAGAATACATGCAATAAATGAAGTCTGTCTAACACAATATAAAAGGTCTAGGGACTTGTTA